TTAGTGATGTGAACTGATAGCTTCTCAGTTTTGATTATCTTCAGGTTACCTTTTCCATGTACTAGAGATTTTTTGTCAATGTAGGATGTGAACCTGAATTTCCCAATTTAATATGAAATGTACCAGTGTTTCATTGCAAGCCTCTCTCTGTACGATTTTTATGATGTAACCTATTCATACGAGAACTTATTTACATACATGTCTTGTTTGACACTTCGGCAGCAACCTGATGGAATTAAAGCAATTGACGATCGAGCGTTAAAACCCATAATGTACGGTCAACATCGATAAAGGTAAATTTCCATAAAAACATTAAGGAAAAAACTCTTTGATTATTCATACAGATCCGTACAACAAAAACCTTTCTTCCATTCGTCAAATGATTAATTTTTGTTCAATATATATGAAAAATTTATAATAAATGAATTTTTTCCTACGGAAATGAACATATTCTAGATTTATAATCGATCAAACAAAAAAAAACGATATGAATAATCTAACAAATAATCTAATAACCTGAACACTGTTGTTGCGGACACTATAGGTTCCCTTTAATCTACTAACACTGCAGCACGCGTTAACGTCAAAGATACAGAAGATCAAAGTCACTTTCTCAGTGGGCGCGTAAAATTGTTTCTTTGGCCCTCAGGAATTCTCCGCGACGTGGCAATTTCCTGCAACATTTTTCACCCAGAATTTTTTTTAACAAAAGTTACTCAAAAAATGGGAGCTTCTTGCTGCCGCTTGACTGAATGCATTGTGCGGGAAAATGTTTCTCGTGGTTTAATCGTTAAAAATCTAGTGCTTAAGAAATTAATATTAGTGATTAATGCTCTCAGTTAATAAGATTATGATTAATAATTGGAATCATTTGGTTTTAAATGGCTGTAGTTACACATGCTCAGCCAGACGACGCGGATGGGGAAGATGGGCAAGTGTTAAGGTAGGGCGATGCTGCGTTCATATTCGTGGAGGTAAGGTTAAATAAATAAAATATTAAATAAAGTAAATATTAAATAAGATTCACGGCCTCTAAAACGGGTGATAGTATATGGGGTTATATATTAGGAGGAGTTTGATTAAATAAATGTAGTTTACTTATTTAATTTAGTTTATTTTCAATAAATTTTACTTTATATCAGAGAATCATGTGCATCAGGATAAAAAATTAGTGAATTTTTACACTGGGTAAATGAAGTAGCCAAACTGTTCAGGAAATAAAAAAAGTTCAACCAATAAATTGCGCTATCTTACGTGCTTAAATTATTTTATTAAGGATACATATATTCCCAGTACTGCCCGCCACCAACACTGCCCGCCACCAACACTGCCCGCCACCCTTTCTGCCTCCACCCTCTCTGCCCGCCATCGCCCGCCACCCGCCACCCCAGCAAGGTGTAGCTGTGAACCGTCTTGTTGGTTCGTCAGGATAATAAAACAAAGTTAACGTTGCTTATTCAATGAGAAGAGTAAAATTCAACACAATATTCACCAATTGGTATAAATAATTTCTATGTAATTCATCTCAACTCCAGCCAATAGAAAGTAGGCAGCCATTCAGCCTTTAAGCCAGTCGCTAGTAGTTCATGCCAGTTAGCCTTCAGCCAGAAAGCCTCCAGCCAGTTAGCCTTCAACCAGTTAGCCTTCAGCCAGGTAGCCATCAGCCAGCTAGCCTTCAGCCTGTTAGCCTTCAGCCACTTAGCCTTCAGCCAGTTAGCCATCAGCCAGTTAGCCTTCAGCCAGTTAGCCTTCAACCAGTTAGCCTTCAGCCAGTTAGCTATCAGCCAGTTAGCCATCAGCCAGCTAGCCTTCAGCCTGTTAGCCTTCAGCCAGTTAGCCTTCAGCCAGTTAGCCTTCAACCAGTTAGCCTTCAGCCAGTTAGCCACTAGCCAGTTNCATAATAACTTAATGTAAGGAATCCTACCTACATAATAACTTAATGTAAGGAATCCTACCTACATAATAACTTAATGTAAGGAATCCTACCTACATAATAACTTAATGTAAGGAATCCTACCTACATAATAACTTAATGTAAGGAATCCTACCTACATAATAACTTAATGTAAGGAATCCTACCTACATAATAACTTAATGTAAGGAATCCTACCTACATAATAACTTAATGTAAGGAATCCTACCTACATAATAACTTAATGTAAGGAATCCTACCTACATAATAACTTAATGTAAGGAATCCTACCTACATAATAACTTAATGTAAGGAATCCTACCTACATAATAACTTAATGTAAGGAATCCTACCTACATAATAACTTAATGTAAGGAATCCTACCTACATAATAACCTAATGCAAGTAATCCTACCTATACATAATAACTTAATGCAAGTAATCCTACCTACATAATAACTTAATGCAAGTAATCCTACCTACATAATAACTTAACCCCACAACTGAGACCTGCAGTCAGACACCCCGAGCTCAGCGGTGGGGCGCTCAGGAACAATCCCCCTAGGAGCGCGAAATCCCATAGGACTTTGACGCACACAGACACGCGTAGGCCAAACATCTTATGGCAGAGAGATCCACCAATCAAGTTTCACCATCGAAGGACTGGCTGCGAGGCCAATCGTAATCAACTCGCCGGAATTGTTAGGTGAAAAGAGTTTCATGAGAGAAATAATTATGAAATTAACACAAAACTATGCGAGAAACTAGCACTGTTATACATACACGATGCCCCGAGGAGAACGGGCCCAAAAGCTCGCAGAGACCGACGAATTCTCATGAGAAAACGCATGAAATTAAATAAAAAATAAACAAATTAATGAACTAGTCAAATCCACTCGTGAGTTTAGGGGACAGAGACTGGTAGAGCTCCACAAAGAAGCCGAAAGCAGGTTGCAGGACTCGCATAGGATGGAAGAGCGAGCTGCAGAGGAGCAAGTGATTGAGGTCAACAGAGAGAACCCCGAGTGTATCTTCAAATACATTCAGTCCACGGCTAAAATGAAGGCCACAGTTGGGCCGCTGAAGAATAATGATACCCCTCGTTGACGATGAACAGGGCATGTGTGGGCTGCTGCATGGCAGCGCAACTAAAATCAGTTTTCAGTAGTTTCCGCGACTCTAGGCAAGAGAATGAAATCAATGTCCTGGACCAGAAGACATAGATAGAAACATTGAAGAACTAGCGACATTTTCAGAAACCTAGGCCCAATGGAGTACCGGCAGTAATGCTGAAGAAATATTTTTTGGATAATACAAGGCTCCACTCCAAATCAACTGGAATTGATGGAGGGAATTTTGCGTAGGAACTTCAAGAGTGGGACTGATAACGTCAGTGAATGTCCTTGACCTCACAGGTTATCAGGGTGTTTGAAACTGTAGCGGCAAAGTGTAGTAGTGTTTTGGTACTTGGAGGAGGTTGAATTGTATAATAATGGACTACATTTTTTTCAGCGTAATCGCTCCAGTTGGACACAATTGCGGGAGCACCATCACCGACTTGTAGCCCTAGTGGAGGAGGAAGCCAGCGTAGACGTGGTGTACCTGAATTTTGTGAAAGCTCATGAAGAAGTTGACTAAGGGGTGATCTGAAGACAGTTAAGGCAGCTATAGGGCTAAGAGGAGCCCAGTCATAAATCCTCACGGTCATATCAGCGCAGACTAGGGCAATAAAGGGACATGAATATACAAACTACCGGAACATTTTTGTATGACCGCGAGATTAGCAAAAACATTTGGAATCAGCGGGGTCAAATGACAGCAGATGCACGGTGGTCTTGTCCAACGTAACCTACAGACTACGGAGGGGGGCGCCCTGCCTTTCGATTGCTTAGGGGACGGCGGACGACGAAGGCGGCGCTTCCGCGCGGCCATGGATGAGAAAGTCCTAAACACAAGGGCAGTAATCCAGATGACGACACCTAATTTTACTTACAGCTAGTTTTTAAAACCTTAGAATAGTTTTTGGTTTTTGAAGAACCCGCGGTGTACAAATTTTTTAGATGAGGACAATACTCTTCGAGGTCCTGCAATCCATGTTCGTAACAACATATACATATTTTGATCATACAATAGGGCGGAGATGCGCGAAAGTTTTCTGCTCCAGAGTTATTGATTACAATTTAGATCGTAAAATATGTATGCATATGAATTGCTCTTGCGATTGGAGTGGCAAACTTCAGTTAAATGCAATGAAATAGAGCATCAGTTGTTCCCTGAAGCGAATGATGAAGTTCTCATATGGCTGAATAACAAAATGTCTGAATGAAATAGAATATTGATGTTCTTAAGGCCCTGATTGAAAACCGAGAGGCTTCGAACAGGCTCGGCTCTTATCTATGCGTTTCTTCACTAATTAGGATAGACTTTACTCCACTCGCAAATGAGATGGCGACATGGATTTTTCCATACTTACCCAGCTATTTATTTATAAGAGTCGACCAGTAATAAAAAATATGTAAACTTTGTATTAAAAGAGTTTTAATGAGAGGAAATTTCAAGAAACTTTGAATATTATTGTTCATCATGTCTGCGACTTTTACACTTTTTTCGAGATATAAACGGGTTGTAATTTTTATTGTCAATTGAATGGTTTATTCGGCATTCCTTGATCAGCTTCCTTGTTATAGATATTTTCTACCAAACAATATTTATGATCGAGTCTGCTGATACGCGGAGGGAAAATCCCGCATACTAGCTGCTCAAATGGAGACGTTGTGCAATGTTTGAGGGGAAAGAGACGTCGTAAATTACTCAACTGTCAGTTCACAACGGGTGGCATGGTAAAGGCGAAGTCAATGAGGGGCGAAGAATAATACTTGGCCAGTGGTCGGCCTATCCACTTAGTTATAGCCGACCGTTGGCCATTCCTCGGCCACCTGAAAGCGACCAGTTGCCACGAAGAAGGGTCTGGCTAGAATATCATATTACAAAGAGTACAAGCTCGAGGATAGCGACTGGCCGAGCTTTGGGCAGATCAAGGATTTTACACGATGGTCGCGAAAACCTCCCTCTCAGACTTCGCTGCATTTTGACTACAAGCCTTAAGAGTTGATTACAGAGCAACAATTTTAAATGAACTTTTAAAGATGAAGAGCCAATAGCCCACCTAAGAGAAGTCGTGTTCGATCATCAGCTAGTCAGTGGGACATTTCTGCTTAGCACTTTGAGTTTCCATACAAAGTGCTTGTCTGATGCGGTCGCTGCAACGGACCGGAACTAAATATACACCTTCACCGAAAATACCGATGGCGCAATCGTGATAGTCTTCTGGTTGTTCCATCCATGGAAACGACTTTTCCTCACCGCCGGGCCAACGCCACACGCCGTCCTTTCCGCGGCTGTAGTCGATGGCGACATCTACGACGAAAAAAAACAGAGTTTTCACATGTTAACAAGTGGTGTTTGGTTTACAATACAAATTGTTTGTATTCATACGTATTTAATGTGAGCAACTTTACTTAATTCCTTATGGTGGCAACTTACTATTTGCTATTATTGATTTGCAATTGATGCTATCGATTGATGCTTACCATTTGCTGGTAAAGCGTCATAAATATGACCATCCCCTTCGACATCCACATATAATTCATAATTTGCGAGCGTCAGACCCAGTCCCTGACAATCCAATTTTGCTTGTAAGAACGAAGAAATGTTGGTTGGAAAATCGTAGCAGTTCTTGTAATCGTCGAGGACGGCGCAGCAGTTTCTTATAGGCGGCATAGAAAGCGAGTCTGAAAAGCATGGGAGGCGAATTTCTTAAAAGTTAGTCTGCATGGAATTTAAATTTATCAACATTTGTGATAATCTTTTATAGTCACGTGAGAGATTTACGTACCTAGATTAATGTATCGAACTCAGGATTATTACTTAAGGAAAATTTTAAAATCCTTAGAATTGTTGAATATGCGAGGAGATTTCTGAAAGCGTCTCTACAATGTACAGAAATTGACGCTAATGAGTAAGAAATCTCCAATAAACATCTTTATATTGAGAGTTGGCTGAAACTCAAGAGTTTAGCCGGGATTATGCACGAGATAATACAGTAATATTTAGGGATAAAATGTTTCAAACATTTGAACGAAATTTTTTCAAATATCAGCCCATATCCCCAACTAAACTCCTTTTGGATTGATTATCGATAGAAGCAATGAACGATTGCAAAAAAAAAAAAACAAATTTACTAAGTTCATTGCATGAGGCTCACCGGAAAGAACAATGCCGGTCGGCAAGCTCTTGTAGCATTCGTTGGACTCAAAGAACGGCACGCGGGCGTTGAGGAACATGTTGAAGCCTGCAAAATGGGACCATCGTTCAGAGTACTTTACTATCAGAAATATTTGCGAGTTTACAACTCCGTCATCAAATCACAAACGAAATATACGAAATATAAATATAATAATAAAAATAAACGAAATATTATACTAATATATATAAGGCAACAAGTCCAGCAGCTATCTCAATCAATCGTCAGCTATAGAAAGATCGGGTTCCAAAGGCCGGATCCCTTGTGAATCAAGTCACGAAAAATTCAAGAATCGGCAATAGGCCATGGGCCTATTTCTTCAACGCCGATACTTCTATTTATTCTATTCTAATTGAAGACCCAGGTGTTACCTGTGATGACGTAAACGACCTCTTGGGGGTCGTCGCAGCTCTGTTCTTCAGTGGAGTTGTAGACGTCGCTGAATGTGGCAAGACATTTGCCTTCGTACTTGACCATCCAGGCCACTGTCAAGCAAACGTGATTTTTATTAGTTCTATTATAAATATTATTTCGGTTATCTATATTATAACATACATGCTGCCAACTACAACAACTGATTGTGTAGAGACTAGAGTACTCATGACTGGGCCAAGATACAGCTGTTGAAAATCATATGATCCAGTGATCAATAATACGATCCTCCAGACAACTGCAATAAGACACGCCTTGTTCATGTCTTCATATATTGGTTTCATATATACAGTCCAGAACAACTAATTTTTTGAGCATTACATTAAAGTCTATGTAGAACAGTATTGGCAAGTAGTAGTATTGCAAAATTATAATGAGTGGAATATTGAAGCGAGGAAAATGAGACCATGCAGGTCATTCACTGAGTTCTGGAATTTGCATAATTGGTTAAAGTTCAGAGTACCAAGATTGGCGCAGAGAGGTGCGGGTTCGATCCCAGCTCTGTGCGTCAGTTTCTGGCCAGAATCGGCAAGGAGGCCGGGCGGTTAAGCACAGCAGAATTGGAGCAGTGAGTTGCGAGTTCGAGTCCGCAACATGCTGTGGATATTCTGCGATTTTAAGAAACGGCGACAGACCTTCGGCCTAATAAACGCTGAAACCGCTATATTATGATAAGAGTCACTAATACCAGACTCACAAAGCTCGGCCGCCTTCAGGATGCACGCTAGGACTCCTGTGTCACCATCAGTTGTTGATTCTGTCCATTCCATCGCACGACTTTGGAGAGGGGAGAAGCGAAGGTATTCAATATTTTCCGAGATGGGAACAGAGTACAGACTTCCCTCGATGGTGTTGGCTAGAGCTTGGCACTCGGAGAACAAGCTGGACTTCGGTCCACTAGAGCCCATGTCCAGCTCGAACTGTTGGAAATGTGTGGTGTCACTGCAGACTTTTATAATCAACTATGAAAATCGTATGTATAGAGTTAATATATATTTCAAATGATCAAAATAAATGAAGTGCTGGATCAGTACCAGATGAAGTTTGTATTAAATAATTAATAATTCAATTAATAATGAAATAATATGGCTTTGTTATTAATATATGACAGATCATAAACTTTGTAATCACAAGAAATAATATATGCTTGACTATCATCGGGCCTGCCTAGCGACCATTTACAAACATATAAATCATTGGCAATCATTGAGAAATTGCCTGCCACTGAAGTACATATAACAATTCCGCCTATTCACTTGACTCCAATAATATTTTAAGTTGTTCCGCGTTAACCTGAATCGTTAATATTCTAACCCATGTGATCAGGAAATAAATGGACTATTTCACGATGAGATCTTGATTAGAACAAAGAAAAAAGTAATGACATGAACAATATGATTGTCTCGCTTAAATCGTGTTTGGAATTTGAATAAAAATCCGTAATTCAATGATTTTATGTTCCGCAAAAACTTCTAATAATTTTCTTGCAGCATGCGGTGAGAAGCTATTTATGGGTATTCAAGGACCAGCGATTTATGGGTATATATGTACAGGCCACTTATGGGTACCAGTGATAAAAGGTACCAGTGTACCAGTGATTATTTATGTACCAGTGGCTATTTATGTACCAGTGATTAATGGGTATTCTCGGTACACTTGGCTGTTTGTTACCCCTATTGATATCTCGGGTACCATGTTGAGTTTGTGCGTGCAATCTTTTGCATACATTCGGTGTTAAGATTTTTTTCGGTGCATAATCTATATCCTTGCTTTTGTCTTTTTTAAGTGCGTACATTCGGTGCTAGACGAAAATATCCGCATTTTATGGTTTAGTCATATTTTGTGACTCCCGGACCGGTCTTGCAATGTCCATCACTGTTTAATATCAGTAACGCCAGAAATAGTAGAGTAACGCTGCTATTTAATATCAGTAAGGACAGAAATAACGCTTTACGCGATATGACGTTCTATTTTTTCCAAGTGCATAGGCACGCATTCTGAACTAGACATTTTGCCGACGTACACTCGTGCCTTTTTCTCGAACTCATCTCCCTTGAATTGCCGATGTCGTGGCCTAAGGCTCCAGGTCAGGTTCAGGTTCATGAACACGAATAACCGTTATTCCTTATCAAGCCCTTATATAACACTAAATAGAACATTATTGGAATAAATCCATTATATATTCAATTTCCATGCATAAGAAGTATGTGCTCAAATAAAAACGTAATCAAAGCGAAATCATTACCTTGTCGATGACATCACCAGCTCGGGGGTTAGGAGAGCTGAAGGTGTCGCAGGAGACCTGTAGGAAACAAGGAATAAAAATTCAGAAATGAAGCGGAATACTAGTTTGATCTGTTCGACATTCAATAAATCTTGCGGTTCGATGACGCCACAAAATCTGACAATACGACAATAACGGGAAACTATAAGACATTTGCAAGTGGCTATCACGCTAAGCTTTAGGCAGCACGGGAGTTGAAACGCTATCACAAGTCACAACACATTAATTCAATATAGTTGAATAAACGGTAAACTATGGAAGTAAAAAATCAGAATAGGTTGTCTTTCCAAAACGGATGTGAAATAGAGAACTAAAAATCAACTAATGCGATCCTCTGAAACAAATATTTGCAATACAGACAGGACAAGAAAGCTACCAACACATCGAACGCGTAAGGAGTGAGCTGGAGCTAGGAGTTCTTAGGATAAACCGTGTGATCCTAAAAATAGAAAACAATGAATAAATTCCAACACATCACGGCCAATTTATATGTTCACTAACTTTACAGCATTCCCCAATAAATAAAAATTAAATCGATAATATGTACAGCATACCAGCCTTAAAGTCTATGAGATAGCAACCAGTACGTCGGTCGAGACCAGCAATTAACTGACGGTTGCCAAAAATTTAACATTGGCGTCAGCGCTGGTCACGCTTAATCTTCGTAGTCGAATTATCAGTAGTACAATATTTTCAAACTACTATATTAAGAAAATTAATAATAAAAAGTTAATAAAATTACCAGTCTAAAGTAAGTAGCAATATTGGAGGAACATTGAAATATATAGTTTGAGATTGCGCCTGTTGAACGCGTTAATACGCCGTTCTTAACGTGTTATTACAATAGGTGGCCATGTTATATAATGTCAAAACTAAATTAGTCCCTATTATTTTCAATGTCGGACGATTAAAAATATAATTAAATTAATAATATTAAGATCTTATAATTTATAGATTAGTACTAATTACGCAATTATTACTAATTAATGGAACTTATTATCTCTTTAAGGACGAGAAGGATTTCAACACATAACGTAAGAGACCCCACAACATTCGAGTTGAAAATCTTATGGGATGAAATGAATTAAATGCAGACGCATAAAGTTATGTGAACAGTGAATACATATTTAAAATAAAAGTTTATGATATTCAAAAGGCTTGACCTGTCAGGGATTCCTAACAAATTTTTGGTCAATGCACCGCAAATTTTTAATTCAACGTCGATTCAACGAAACAACGATAAATTCAACGTCGATTAAACAAAACAACGTTTTTTTCAACGTTGATTCAATGTCAGATGTCTTTTTGGAAAGTCAAATAGGTGGGTGTGCTGCATCGTCGAAATTTATTAGTTAATACAAAATTAAATAATTGCTCAGGAAAACAGACAATGCGTATTTTCGTTTCAACAGAATTTGTTCCCATTGTCGAATTGTTGTTCCCAGAAACTATATTGTTTTTACATTGTTCCCATTCCCAGAAACAGAAAAAAACAAAGTTTTTTCTGTTGATTTCACACAATGGAACATGCGATAAAAAATTCGTCAAGCAGTCACAAAATGCAATTCACCCGAAAATTAATTATTCTGTTCCCGCTGACATCTATTAATTCAGCATACCACATGCATGTGCTAATACCGTTAATACAGGAAACGATGAACTCTGATTTAACATTGTTTCCTTGTTTGGCTATTTCTATCTAAATCGTGACTTCTCAGAATTATAAGTTAAAAGCTTCATCTATTGTCACTCTCGTGTCAAGATTGAAATAATGGAATTATTGATTTCATATTACAATGTACGTGTTGTGTCAAGCTGCACAATGAGTGCGTAGTCTATATTTAATGACTATTTTCGTAAGTTTAAATGTACGGTAAAAATATACTATTCAAAGTACGGTAGTATACATTTTCGCAGTTACTTTCTTATTCGCCACTTAGCACGTTTTTTTATAAAACCTATATTCGATTCTTTTTATAATATAACCGAATATAAATGAATCCATGTTCGCATCATGCTCATTACCATTATTCGAAAATTTCAACGATCAAGTTAACTAAAATCATAATTTAAAAAATTATCATGAACAATTTATTTCAGACAAATTTATCTTACATTGCAACCCAAAACAATTGGCTCTGATACTAGAATGAGAGGCTAAAATATCTATATCAACGCAACCTACATACATCTTGCATATCAACAATCAAAACACAGCCTAACATGCTTCGTATTACTTATAAACCTAATCTGAATACATCTCAAACTAGATTGTATTATTTTATTGCACAGAGATCATACCAATTAAGGTTTCTTAATAATTGGTATGAGACTTACCTGATTCACAACAACTAAGATTAAAATTAGTTTATGCAAGGCTAATGTCACTACAGCAACCATTGTGTCGTGTGTTTTGGACGAAAGTATCACGCAAACGTCACTCAAGCCACCAATGTTATAGCCGCTCACTCGACGCGATCTCATGGAGAAATGCATACGAAATAGCGACCAGGCATCGGCTTCTGTTTTTATTTTCAAGATATTTTTTCGTTAAATACGACGAAAGTAGAAAAGAGTGCAATGAACAAGTGTTTCAATAGCGCACATGTGCTGGATCGATGAAGTCTTTTTAGAAATTTAGAACATTCATATGCAATGATATTTCGTGTATTGATCGTTGCAAGGATTTGAAAGTTTTCAAAATAAAAGTCATTGCGGCTAACAGATGTTATGTCGCATACGCTCAATGTTTATTTTTAACTAGAGAAAAGACTTTCAACTTTTATCCATTGAATCGATCGTCAATAGATTTGGGTCGAATCCTTTGAAATCTAAACAGCTTTCGAAATCTGAAGAGCTTTCTAAAAGAAAGTTTTATATTCATCGCTGCATGTTTGAGTAAAGCTAGTATAGTCCACTCGTCACTTATGTGACTCATATAGCCAAACTCATGAATTCGTACTGGTCATTATATTGCTGTAAATACTCATGACGAATACTCTATACTCACATTATATTGCTGTAAATACTCATGACGAATACTCAATACTCACATTATATTGCTGTAAATACTCATGACGAATGCTCTATACTATAGCCGCTCACTCGACGCGATCTCATGGAGAAATGCACACGAAATAGCGACCAGGCATCGGCTTCTGTTTATATTTTTCAAGATATTTTTTCGTTATAAGTTAAAACGACGACAGCAGAAAAGAGGGCAATGAACAAGTGTTTCAATAGCGCACATGTGCTGGATCGATGAAGTTTTTTTTAGAAATTTAGAACATTCATATGCAATGATATTTCGTGTATTGAACGTTGCAAAGATTCAAAAGTTTTAAAAATAAAAGTCATTGCGGCTAACAGATGTTATGTCGCATACGCTCAATGTATATTCTGATATTTTAAATAGAGAAAAGACTTTCAACTTTTATCCATTGACTCGATCGTCAATAAATTTGGGTCGAATCTTTTGTAACATCTGAAGAGCTTTCTAAAAGAAAGTTTTATATTCATCGCTGCATGTTTGAGTAAAGCTAGCATAGACCACGCGTTACTTATGAGACTCATATAGCCAGACTCATAAATTCGTTCTGGTCATTATTTTGCTGTAAATACTCATGACGAATACTCAATACTCGCATTATATTGCTGTAAATACTCATGACGAATACTCAATACTCACATTATATTGCTGTAAATACTCATGCCGAACACTCTTTACTCACATTATATTGCTTATATACGCATGCCGAATTCGTCATTATATTTCTGTAAATTCGTATAATGATGAAATATATTATTATATTACTAATTTTACATTCATTCTAGACAGACTCATGCCAGTGGAAGTCAAACTTAATACGGGACTATTTATTTTAGGATAATATTCAATGCGAGAAAATTCGAAAGTTAGAATTGATATTTAAGCCAAACCAGAGAAAACATGTATTCAACATTTGAATTATTTTCCATACCACAGAAGCGAATGAATTGCAAAGCATGAATGCGTATCTAGTCTAAGTAGGTGAAATCAATTATATGAAAACCTATACTATGATGATATTCTTTGCGATCAGAGAACATGGCTAAAAACTCTGTCAAACTTTTATCGTGAAAAAATTACCTGAATGAATAAGATTACATGGCATCTTTGCAAATGAATACGCAAATTTCGCTTTTACAATGAAAATGTTCTATTCGAATTATAGGTGAAAATCTGAACGACTCTCATCACGAATGACAGCAGCATTAATCTGTTCGCATGATGCGACTGATAATAAGACTGAACACGTAGGCGTGCACTGAACGGAACCTCATTTTCCGAACTTCATCCATTTTAGTTCTAGTTTCAAAGTAGGCGCGTTCAATTTTGTGCCACAAAGACAGTTCTTTTTATTACGGCTTATGTTATCTGTTAGTAGGCATCATTATTTGTATTTATCTTATTCACGCCTATTACACCGGCTCAAAAAAAAAGAGAGAAAGGAAAGATGTTCAATGGACTGCATGCAAAAAAATGCAGAAACCTGGAAGCCATGAGGGCAACTGTCATAAAAGCCATGAGTACAGAAAATATGAATTTGATTAAATATTAGGTTTGCAACGAACTTCAAAATCTAAATGAAGGGAATTATGACTCACTTTTGATCGGCCTGGCAGAATACATTGTCCAGAAATTAAACTATTTATCAAGGCATGTTCGACTTTGGATTTAATTCTCACAAATTATAAAAACAACTTGAGCGTCAGCATTAGGTAATTTGGAGAGGAAAAAGTAATTAGAGCAAAAAGTTATAATTACATCGACAAGATCGTATTTTAGCTCGTACACGAGGCAGTATTTTATTTCGTCCATGAAGCTGTATTTTAGTTGGTACACGAAGCTGTATTTTAGTTGGTACACGAGGCCGTATTTTACTTCGTACACGAGGCAGTATTTTAGTTCGTTTATGAAACCGTATTTTAGTCCGTATACACGAACTCGTATTTTAGTTCGTACACGAAGCTTTATT